AGCACCTAGAATATGGAATTTACCATTTTAGACCAGTGTTTTGTAGTAAATGCAAATGTTTTCCGATGAACTCCGAGACAGTTATCACAAGAACTCCTTGACAAGTTATCATAAGAACTCCATCCCTCGTGCAACGGTCCCTCCCCCGTGTTTATGGCATTGAAATTAATCCGTTGATTTAATCCGAATGAATTCTAAAAATTATTGCTTAAACAATGTTATTTGAAAAGAACATAAACTTTACCAAAATTATTGAAGAACATATCAAAACAAAATGAAGAACGTAAAAATATTCAAAGCTTCAATAATGTTGAAAATAAAATAAAATGAAATGAGAAAAAGCATGGACGTACAATTATCAACCCGTAGATAACTCTATTGCGCTACAAGTACAAATGTTGATGCGCTCATTACGGATACCTTACCAAATCATTTCTGCGCACAAGTCATTTTCTATTTAGATTAATTATAAAGAGTAGTGTACATTATTCCGGTTATTTTGTAAATCATTTAAATTTGCATAATTATACTTATCATATGCACTGTCCATGACAGAGGGGCCAGGTATTAAATAAAAAAATGCTTTCACTGATGCCTATCTGGTAAGGAAAGTAATTGTAATACAAACAAGACTTACAAGACTTGTAAATGTAATGTGTCATGACAGTAGTATAACATTGTTCTATTTGTGTCACTACTGTAGTTAGTAATCTTAGATGATAAAAAATATCAAAGTATGTACATTTTTTCACCTATAATGCTACTCACTTTCTACAAATATCAACAACTAATCATTGTAGGAAATATTAAATCCACATGTAAGTAAGCTAAATCAACTTTATTTTTCAAAATGTCCGTTGCATGTTTCGCGCCAAATGGTATAATATATAAGAAAGGCATAGATGCAAAGCATCAAATGGCGTCCGAGCAAGAAATGCAGCAAGCTCCTATTCTAAATTATGGAAGTGAAGTGTGTGGTTTTGCTAAAAATTTGACAATAGAAAGGGTACATTTACAGTTTTGCAAGAAAGTACTTGGAGTGAAAAAGACCACACAAAATGATTTTATTTACGGTGAACTAGGTAGATTTAGTTTTAAGACAATACACTATTATAACATTATAAAATATTGGGTCAAAGTTGTACATACAGAAGAAAATAAATATGTGTCTTTGGTATATAATATGCTCAAAAATGATTGAGAAAATGCACCGAGTAAAGTAAATTGGTGCTCTTTAGTAAAAAACTTATTTTGTACACTTGGATTTTATGATGTATGGTTGCAACAAAATGTTGGTAATAGTAATTTATTTTTGTCATTAGCTAAACAAAGATTACACGATCAGTTCAAGCAGAATTGGCATGATAGATTAGAAAATTCTAGTAGAGCATTGTTTTATCGAACTATTTCAAATTTTAGATTTCAACCTTACTTAGAACACTTTACAAATAGTAAATTTTGTCAATCTTTTGTAAGATTAAGAGTTTCGTCACATAGACTGCAAATAGAAGCAGGTCGCTGGTCAAGACCGGCGACTATACCAGTAAATGAAAGATTATGTAACTTTTGTAACGTCTTAGAAGACGAGTATCATTTTATTATAGAATGCAAGTTGTACGATGAATTTAGACATAAATATATATTATCAAAATATTGGCGACGGCCAAATATGTACAAATTTATAGAATTGATGAATAACGAAAACCAGATGATAGTAAGAATGCTTGGAACTTTTATTATATCAAGAGCTATTGTTAATTGATTAATTGGGAGATGAACCTACTATTTTGTTGAATTGCTTCAAAATCCTCGTCCGACCCACCAGTGTGTTTACATTCCTATCAATAAACCTATAACACCTGTTGTTAAAATACATGTCGCAGTATTCGGCAAATCAACATGCTACTCAAACCACCATAAAACCGATTGCCTTCAAACAAAATGGAATCAACTTCTAATAGCAAAAATCCGGGACACCAGGGCCGATTTAAACAATCAGGGGAGCTATTAATTAACTTTATTTTTTTTTCGATAAGTTATAAAGGGTGTAATTTTGCAAAACTCTCCAGTTCGTTCAATTACCATAGCGGTACTACTTCTATAAATAGATTTTTGGACTTTCTCAATGTTAAGGTCATATTTATTTAAAACTTTGTTCCCGTTCTCATTCATTAATTTGACATGCTGCGAATCACCGAAGGGGAGGCCAATATATGACATTACATAAGAGAAATCGAAAGGAAATCGTGCTTCCGAATTTATTTTCTTAGCTGTTAATCGAAGGGATCGAGGGGTTAGAGTCGATGACTTCTTATCCAGTTACATCTCTGGCTTGGGTTCGATCCCCGGGAGATGCTTTTTTAGTTTAGCGCGGAGGGAGGTAGTCTAGTACTGGTGTATCTCTCCAGGAACGATGGTTAGGAAACTACCCGTCTATATGACTGAAATATTGTTGGAAAAAGGCGTAAAATGAAACAAACAAACAAACAAACGAATGAATTAATTGATAAAAATCGGGTCCATGGACAAAAAATATATAGTAAACACAAATAGCTCCGCGCCTTAGGGCGCGGAGCAATAACGCTCAGTATAATTATTTCAAAGACACAAATCGATGTAAATCACATCTTTTTGCGTACATCTGAAAAGGAACTAACTGAAAATCTACCAAAGATTAATTAAATTGTGCACATTGACCGTATAATCAGTATGCAATTGACAGGCTTATAAAGTCAAACAATATATAAATATCATATATGAAATGTAGGGTGGACGGATTTTAATGAACGATGTTACCACGTTAGAATTTAAACTTGGAGTAATTGACTAAAGTTGTATATTACGCACGGAATTCACGTGACGGGAAAACGGTGTAAACCAGTTTTATACAAACTTTAGTGTTTAGACCGTCATGCATTGATGATCCTCAAAATTATAACGATTTGTTTTTCAAAAGATAACTTATATTTATACACATATATATATATATATATATATATATATATATATATATATATATATATATATATATATATATATATATATATATATATATATAATATATATATATATATATATATAGCAACGCGAAGTCAGATTTTGAACATCATTAAATTATTTATATTTACCTTCTTGCTGTGTTTTATAACAATTAAACCAACCAGTTGTAATATTTGATTCAAAAAGGTAGTTTACGTAAATAAATGATAAATGAATAACTTAACATATCCAATTATAAGTTTTGATGGCATTTAAGGATACCCATGTCATTCTTTTGTACATATTTCTACCAAGCTTCAGAAAAACTAAAAAATAAAGTGATTCTCTGATATAAACCAAAACAGAATGACTGACAGATGTGGGCAATAAGAGGATCAAAATATAACAAAATACTATTCTGCTTGATTTGACATTCGTTGCTTGAAACTTTACATATCATTAACGTATAAGATTTATAGATAAATGTACATTTATATGACATTTTGTGTTACTCCAATCAAATTTCAATTTATGATTAGTATTAATGGATATAGAATTAATACTAATATATCATTGCATTTGTCTTCATAAGAATACGACGGTCGACGAAACCCTATTAGACTTCAAAATTTGTGATGATCAGCTTCATGCAAGTTCTGATACCCTTCCATATGCAGGTGAGGTAAGGACCCTTTTCAGTCATAAATATATTTGGTAATCTTTAAATCTAAATTTAGCTTTAAAATATCTTAATTTGTTTTCACTTTAACTTTGCCGTTAAAATGATCATTGTTAATGTTGAAATCTTAATGTCCATTATTTCTATTCCTGACCAATAGAATAAAGGTAAGATTCAAAACATTGCACTTCAAAATGATGGGCTCTTGACATAAATATGTCTACCACACAGAATGGTGTGTTTCTACCGCATGGCCATTGTTATCATGATCGGACAGAAAGGCATGATCAGTGCAAAACCAGTTACTTCAACATAGTTAACTAAATGACGTTTACTGTTCAAGTTTTCTATACGTATAAAATAACGAGATGTTCTCTAAAATTTATGCTCTGATTTGATGCTATGCACCAATGCTGTTTTTGTTTATGCCATTGTTACAATAGTGTTAATGTTACCTATATGTACAATCACCTATCCCCTTAAACATCATTAAATGAAATTGAATATTTATTTTTTTGTCTAGGTTGATGTATCCGGTGATGTTCTTGAGGATAGAAATAAGAATAGTATCATATTAGATAGCTCTGTTGACTATGAACATCCACCAAGCAACTTAACAAGTTATGTGAAGATTAAAGGCTTCATAGCGCTTACTATAAATATTAAAATTTGGGGAAGACCGGAATGATAAAGGGGAATTTTGAATTTAAAAAACTGCCTATAATTGTGGGCATATCTAAAGGTGAAACTTTAATTTTTTATTCTAGACAAATATAAAAAATAAACGTGAAAATTTTTTAGTACAAAAATTTCCCCAAATAAAACGCGACATTTTTGGTGCTATTTTCCAGTTAAAATATATTGCACAAAAAAAAAATTGTATGTAAATTTTAACTTTTAAAATTTAAAGTATAATTCTAAAAAAAAAAACACATAAGCTGTTTAATAGCTGACTTGTTGGATATTCATACTTGCAGGAAAATTCAAGGGTGAGACTAAATGCAATGTAAAAGCAAATGAACTCTGGATAAGGGTATAAAATCAGAAGATAAATCTACGAATATTTTCTGGTAAACAATATTTTATATACATATTCTAAGTTTAACAAACAATTAAAAATTGATATAATACCAGAGTAATTCACAATATATTATCGGAAACGATACGACAATTTCAGGAAATTCAGGTTTTGTTTCCAATATCTTTAATCCAAGTAGAAATTTGAAAAAGCTTTGTATAGCTTTTAATAAACATGAACAGAAAACAGAAATTTACTAGTCTTATACATATTACAGCAATCGACATAGATTGTACCATAAATATTAAAATATGATGACTTCTAATGCTCCTTTGTAGTGACGCATCTGACAAGGGTAAAACTATTTGGAATGTTGCCAAGCAAGGGACCTCTAAACTATTAAAGAAACTAGACAGGGAGAAAGTGAATGCTTATTATATAACTGTAAAGGTAATACCATTTAAAATATTTCTGATTATCATATATCGATTTTATATCTTATCTGCGCCTAAAGTAGATGCAGGTGAATATGACATTACAACTATTTTATGTGAAAGAACATCTGAAGTCTCGTTTTCGAGTTATCTGCCCTTGAGTATTAAAAAAAATTGCAAATAATTGGAAATGAGTTTTTTTTCCACTCAAATCTAAAGAATTAGAATTTTCAGTCTCCGGAAAGAAAACTTAAAGAAATATTGAATTGAATTTCGTGAATTTATTAATTAAAGATTAAATGAGAAACATAAACCAATAGTTAAAATAAAGTTTGTCTCAATTCGCATATTTTTCGCCCTTGAAATGACCTAAAATAAAAATCAGACCAAGGCCAATTAACAGGAAAAAAAAGATCGACGATTGTTTTCCTATCCAAGAATAATGCAAAGTTTAACTAACTTATACTTAACAGTTACATAAGGTATAGTTTATTTGTCATAGATCTCGTGAGATTCTTTCGCACCATCCAAAAGGCATACTTCATTATATCCTGGGAAAGAAAAAAAATGTTTACTATTTATTTATATAAATAGGGGTTTCAAACCAACAATAAAGATCGTACAAACTACACTAGTATAAAAGTTGACGTCACCGACATTGATGACAACAAACCTGAAATGTTAAAGACAACTCACAATGTTTCAGTGATGGAAAATAGTCCGGTGGGAACTATCTTGTGTGTAGTATCGGCTACTGATAGGGATATTGTAAGTTTTATTAGTGTGCTGTGATTTTTCAGGTGAATATTATCATGTTTACTATGATGTTTGTACTACCTGTCTGATATTTTTGTTGGCAACACTAGTTCGAAAACAACAAACGTGGTTTATTCATCATTATTATTCATTAACCTAATAACTGCCTAACAATAACCTCAAACTTGCCTTTGATAGAGCTTAGTACCTGTTCCGATGCCAAGTACATCAACAAACTTTATTAAAACTTTGCAAACTTTTTGTCAGTCAATCTTTTCTTATTTCTTTGAAGATGAATAGAAATAGAAACCAGATCACATATTTTCCTAAAGAACTTTGCCTAGCATGCAAAGTGTTCTCACTGTACCAGATACAGTCGTTTACTTTTGTTATATCTAATCTTAAGTTTAGAAAAGAAACACTTTGAATAGAATTAATATTGAATTTATCAAATGTCCAAAACATTTAACATATGAAAATATCAATTTGTAAAGGAACGTTAAACACATCGTTACTTTCTTTGTAAAAGATGTATTATGCTCAAATTTCATATATTAAAATAATGGTTATTTCCATACAGTTTCTTTTTAAATGTAAACTAAACACACTGTAGGCAAACACAAACATAATGTCATCAAAAAAATGATAGATTAAAAAAAGACCCAATAAATTACCAGGTAAAAGAAATAGAGATTTCCAAACATAGTTTATGCGTTCACTTATTCAAGTGAGACATATTCAGTAAGAATTTCCTATATTTTAATAATTTTTGCACTAGAAGTGTTGTTTTTTTATATAAAAATGAGCATACTATATCTTTAAAGGCACAGGAAGCCTAAACATTACTTTTTGAAACGCTTTCATTTTTTGTGTCCTTTTATACTGATTATATTGATTGATTTAATGATATTGATTTGATATTTTGTACAGAAATCGAAATACCGCTGTTACCCTTTTCTTCCTTTGTGACACATTATTTTAGCTTTTTTTTACCGATGATGCTTTAATCCGTTATTACAATGTTTTAAACACATAATGCACCTTAATATAAAAAAAGAAGAAAAAACATTCTGAATCGTAATGTGCTTTAAAAGTTTATGGATGTTTTAATTTTTATTTAAATAATATTCTCCAGGGTGTAAACGCGAAATTTGGATATAAGATGAACAACACGAGCGTATACTTTGCTGTGGATGAAAGTACTGGGTTGATTACTGTAAAAGCATCTGTCGACCGCGAAACTATACAGTCAGAGGAACTTAAGGTATGTTTCTTCTATTTATAACAACGAACCTGCACATGCCGATTCTAACATTAAACGGACTATACCACTAGTCACAACAATGTTGTTCATAAATAAATGACCATTTTACTACATTGCATGTACAAATACTTAAGGTCCTTATTTGGAGACTGGCGCGGATAAATGATTCTTTTTACCAGATCGGGCAACAAAATTTCCACAAAGGGTATTGTTTGTCAATATTGACCTGAGACTGATTTAATAAAAAAAAAAACCAAAAACATAACTTTGATGCATATGAACATTTTCATAATTTCAATTTGGGATGAATCGCATGCATAAAGCCATAGTAATTATGTTGTGCAAAATATAAAAAAAAAACACTTAAAAATAATATTTCGAACATACAGCCTTCAATTTGAAACTAAAAGTTTTAACTCCTTATCACTAGGGCAAGTGTTTTTTCAGTTAACTTAAGTTATGTACCGTTATGCCAAAATTAAAATCCGTAAGATTATTTTGGAATTTGATATTTACAGACAAAAGGTCATTGGATATTTATAATGTCTCGGGTAAATATTGCCAAACAATAATGCATTTGACATAGGGTGCTGGCTTTTACTAGTTTTCCAGAAGGGGTGAAGAGCAAAACATTACTAATTTTTAATTGGATTTTGAGTGGTTTTCATTAAAATGAACGTGTTACTACTAAGCAAATATCCTATTCTTAGAAAGATTTCGCATAAAAGCCAAAATCAAGGGGTTTGGGAAAAAAATCTCTTACCCACAACCCCCACTCCCTATGGACTCAGACATTAGAGATAAATGTATACATGATTTTGGTCTTTTTTAACAATGAAGAACATGTTCTTAACGTGATAACTGTATTTCACAAACTACTCTACGGTTTATTCAAATTGTTAATATTTCAACAATTTTAGTGAACGTATGTGCCAAACTATCCTACATACCCGTCTGTATATATATATTTCTTCACTGATTTGAAGTAATATAACCGTCTCGTGTTTTTTTACATTAATTTGTTATTTAATATCAGGACAACACTTCGATATTCAAAAGTTCGTGTTGCACGATCTTACTCACGACCCTTTCTCTATATTTACAAGATATATGCTGAAGCTACAAATAAAACGAACTGGACTAGCAATTTTAGTATAGTACACATAACGGTGTTGGATGAAAACGACAATACTCCAAAATTTAACTCTTCAGATTATTCCATTATTCTGAAAACAATCAAAAACGGATCTGCTGTACTGAAGGTAAAATAATTTATTTGTTTTGTCATCAGAAATTGAGTCAAAGTATTTATATTACTGTCATGTAAAGATTTTAGTGTAATGACTTTGTTTTTTATGATTTTTATAAGGACTTTATTATAACACAAACACGTACAATAATAGTTAATTAGCATCAATGCAAATTTGAAGTAAATATAGTGTAAGGACGCAAAATAATTATTTATGAAAATAAACCCAAAACAAACACACAATCCTACAAAAACAAAACAATTACAATGGAAAATACATTGTACTTAAAACAACAACAGAAGTACCTAAATGCAAAAGTGTTATATATTTTCAAAACATAACTTTTTATCTTTATTTTATTCCCAGATGAATGTGTCTGATCCAGATGAAGGTTCAAACGGCGAATTTGAATGCAGTATGCAGCCTAAATCCGATTCATTCGTGATAAGAACTGAGCTTCACGGATGTGTCATTTATCTGACGTCATCCCTAAACGATACGGAACAATTACTATACACATTTGATGTCACAGTTAAAGATAAGGCAACTGATTCAACAAAAATAAGGGTATATTTTAGAAACTATTCGTTTTGAGAAATAATTCATCACAGGCATCTCAACTGAATTTATGCGTGTGACATATCTATTGCGTCATCCCTAAACAAGCTACATGTATATTAATTGGATGTTCTAGTGAATTAAAGATATGTGTCTTTTTTCAGGAAAAAAAACTCAATTACTACAGAATACTTTGGCATTCAAATCTTAGATTTAAAATTAAGATTTGTCATAACTTGTGATTACGCTAAATAATTTTCTAGCACGTCTGATGTATAAGCACAGTGGCATCTAAAGAAAAGCATGTCCAAACAATAGAAAAAACCTGTTGTCCTTATATTTGGTATTGAGATTGTTAATGTATGGTAGATGATCCTTATTTAATTTGGTTTTAATCGATCACAAAACAAGATCGCCTTTACAACAGGCAGATTGGACGACCAGTTACTATAGAACGCATTGGCCGACATTTAGTATAGAAGATGGTTATGTAAAGCAAAGAAACACTAGGCTTTGTAGAAGGGGCGCAAAGTCCCCGACTTTTCAATTTGGGTTTTTTTGATGTTCTCTGCTATTGTACCCGTAGGCAAAAATTAAAAAAAAATACGTTCCCTGTCGTCTTCAAAAGATAACCGATGTATAACAGCATCTGAATACGACTTTTCTATCGCAATCCCGTTCACTGTTGACACAATAAGAAAAGCTCAGAAAATATTTAGCAAATCATCGAGCATGCTGACAGACAGAGCAGTAAACAGGAGTTAAGGTAACTAATATCTGCACCCAAGGTACAGTCTGTGCATGTATTGATATGCGATTAAACCCTGACACATTTTTAATAGAAGTATCTTATAACTATGATACAATTTGATTTTAGGACCAGTCGGTCAAACACACTATGACCTCTTCCACAAATTCTTGTCCGTCAAATAACCGGAAAATTCTTTGGTCTAAATCTAAGATTTGTTGTGGAAGTTGGTTATGAGACTCATGACTGATTACATGAACTTTGTGTGTTTCTTTTTTTGGACGGGGCACACATGTTTAACTAATGTTTTTGTTTTCATAAAATTTTGTCAAGACTGAAAACAGACTGACAGAAAGACAAGCAAACAAGCAATTGACAGATGTCTAAATAAGGCAAAATGTATATTCTAAAATGGACTGAAACTGCAACAAATTGGCATTTCATTTTGGGAAAGTCGGCTAGACAGATAGACGGGCGGAAAAAAACATATATAGAGTAAAGCAGATGGAAAGTCTGACTTACAGACATACAGTAATTTGTTGCAAAACAAATAAAAAAACCTCATTCCTGTTACTAAGTGGAAAACTTATATGTTGTCGAGATGTGTTTGGTTTGTATACGTACATTTTATCAACATTTCAATACACTTTACCTCGAAGCAGATACTCTCATGATCACTATCAGAAAGGCAGCAGTTATTCCGAATAAAGCTCCTGATTAAGTGCATCGTCAGTAACCCACGGTACATATGATTCTGCACGTATTAGATAATGTAGTATGAACTGAATATAAACCACGGGTAGCCGACGATGCGTTAAGTATTGCTACACTTTTTGATGAAAAGCATCGAAAGCTGTATACCACGACTAGGATTTGTCAATCATTAATAAAAGATTCGCTATTTAAAGCTAGTGTCAGTACACGATATAATTAATATTATATTCATTAACCATATCGTAACTATATGAAAATATATTAACAGTTTCAAGATACTGATTTTAAATCGGTCCCAAACATTCTATTACTGTTTATTGTCGTCCTATTTCCCAGATCTTCCCGAAGAAGTGACATTAATGTTACGGATGTAAATACCATGAAACCAAATTTCGAAATATATAAAGATTTAAAGTATACTGGATCCACAGAAATAAGGAACGATTTAAGTTTAATACTTAAAGGTAATATTCTAGTCGTGTGAAAATTATAAAGTCCAAAGATTAAAAGGGAGGATTTTTTTTTCCCTAGATAAAAGGAAATGCATCATGACATTTTGTTTATTATAGAGAACAATAATAATTTAGTAATATTATATATTCTATCGCACGATTTATATCTTAAAGCCTAATATAAGTGTTTCAGTATAGCATATTTGATTTCCGTTTACACTAAACTAAGCTTTTCTTTTCCGCATTTCTAAAACTGCCACAAATTTTCTTAAATGTAATGTTAGAACACGAAATCTTTTCGGAATGATAAATACCCTTGTTATAATGGTATATTTTATTAATTTTAAACTGTGCAAATGATATTTTTTGCCGTAAAGATCTATTTAACATATTTAGAACTATGATCAATGTTTTTAAGCGTTGTATATCAGTTTCAAAAGCAAGCAGAGATCACTAATATTTCAGGCGTCAGATAAAGATCCTACGGACATTTTGAAATTCAGTGTTTCAAAAGTGGAAAATAAATTCAAAATAAGAGAGAAAAACAGGTACGTTATTATAATGCTTAATGCAATTTTTTTAACCTTTATAAAAAACCTTTGTTACACATTCGTGATTTAACGCGACATTTTCAAAAACAGGAAAAAACATAGCTTAACGTCAAATTTTACACAAAATTGACAATTTTCTTTCCATTACTCAAACAATTTTCGGCGTATAACAATAACAATTTCCGTCGAATGCTGTAAAATTTAAGATATTTTATCCGCCAATGGCGTTGAAATACCCGTAACAGTTGCCAAGGATACGCAACGACGTCATGTTCAAAAACGGGCTTTGATGGTCAACTTTGACGCCGTGTGTACAAAAATTGGCTGAAACTATTAAAATAAAATCAACGGAACCTAATCAGAAATATGGTCAACTTTTTGCATGCAAATTTTCAAGACGCTACTCGAAAGTTCGCAAAGTGTCACGTTCTACCTAAGGTCTTCAGCGTACCCGTTTATATACTATGGCATGACGTGAACGCTGAAGACGGACCCGTAGGGAAAGTCCACCAATAAATATAGCTGTCATCAAAAAGAGCCCCCTCCAAGACATGTTTGTCTCCGTTAAATCTTTAAGTGTCTATGAAAAAGTTCCCATGATTTTCAAACCTGTACAGAAAAGTAGACATACAGGCGTTATACCTATACATAGAGTCTTTTGATTATAAAATTAGTTTTTCTATTTGTAACATACGTTGTTGATCAATTATAATGTAAGTTCTTCTTGTTACATACGTTGGTTTACAATTGTAACGTAAGTTCTATTTACATACGTCGTTGTTCAGTTTTTATGTTAGTTTCTTCTCTTTTCATACGTTGTTGCACAATTTTAGTGTCAGTTCTTCTTAGTAAGTTCTCTTAGTTACATACGTTGTTGCAAAATTATTATGCACTAGGTTCTTCTGGTAACATACATTGATGTACAATTAAAATGTAAGTTCTTCTTTTTTTACTACATTAAGGCGTTATTTCAGTGTAAGTTCTTCTTAATCCATACGTAGCTGCGCATTTTGTTTTTCTAAACACAAATCCAACATTCACAAAAAGTATTTTTCTCAGAATAATTTATTATTATTTCCTGTCAAACATTTAATTCAGCTGAAATTGTATTTCTTAAAGAAATATTTTCTGTGTTTGGAGCACAGTATAATATATAATTAAGTGTAGACATGATTTTTATATTTCAGATTATATCTGGCAGAAAAACTTGATAGAGAAACGAAAGCCTTTTACAATATTTCGGTCACTGTGACAGATGGAAATCACGTATGCCTGTTTCTTATACATCTTACAAACTATTTCAAGTCTATCTTTAGTGGTAGATAACTAACAAGATATTTTCATTTTTAAAAGATTCTATAAAACTTACCACTTACAGTGTTTTACACAAAACAAATGTCATCAAGATTCAAAATATTTATACTACTACATATTACAATTTTTATAATTCAGTGAAACAAACTTTAACATTAAGTTTTTCTTCTTCATTATGTAAATGTCGTTTATATAATAAAATTAAAATGATGTAAATGTTATAAATTATGCCCCCTTCGGCGAAGAGGGGGTATATTGTTTTGCTAATGCCGGTCGGTCCATCTGTCTGTACGTCGGTAGACCACATGGTATTTGCTGATTATCTTAACATCTATTTATCACAAAGTCTTAATTTTTTACATGTTGATTGGTTTTAACTAGTAGATAGCTCTTATCGATTTTAGACTCTTAAGCTCAAAGGTCAAGGTCAAGGTTAAGGTTATCACGACATACAGAATAGTCACATGGACCTTAAATCTGTCTGTCTGTCCATCCATGGGTATACCACATGTATTTTTTTGCGGATTATCTTAAAAAACTGTTTATCACAAGTCGTCATATTTCACATACTGATTGGTCATAACAAGTACACTAGGTCAAAAGTCAAGGGGCA